AGGAAGGGAGGAAGGAGGGAGGGAACGAAGGAAGGAAGGAAAAGGGGAAGGAATAAAGGAAGGGAGAAAGGAAGGATGGGAGGAAGGAAGGAAAAGAGGGGAGGAAGGGAGGAGAGAGGGAGGAAGGAAGGAAAAGAAGGGGAGTGAGGAAGGAAGGAGGGCAGGAAGGAGACTGTTGGGAGAACAATTCCACGCACTCTCCGGGCCAGGGGTCTTTTTTGGGGCGGGGGGGGGTCTCTCCGCCTACCTGGCCGCAGGCTGCTGCTTCTTCCTCCGCCGAGGCCATCCAGCCGCTCCCGGGATCCCCTTCAGCTCCTCCGGCTGCCGAAGCGAAACGAAACCCCGACGAACCCAGCGGGTCTCTCGGGATCCCTTCCGAAGGACCCGCCCCGCCCTGGGAGGGAGAAGGCGCGCCCTCTGGCGGGCAGAGCGGCCTAGTGGTGGGAGCGGAGGCTGAAACGCCCTTTGCCCTTTCCGAGGCGCTTCCCCTTCTCGGCCCCCCCCCCCACCCGCGTCCGACGGTCCAATAAATTTGTGAGGGAAAGTGGGAGGAGATAGATGGGAGCGAGGGAGGAAGGGAGGAAGGAAGGAAGGAAGGAAAAATGGAGGGATGGAGGAAGGGAGAAAGAAAGAAAGAAAGAAAGAGGGAGGAAGACAGAAAGACAGACAGAAAGAAAAAAGAAAGAAAGGGAGGGAGAAAGACAGACAGAAATATAGAAAGACAGAAAGAAAAAAGAAAGAAAGAAAGAATGAAGGGAGCGAGAGAGAAAGAAAAAGAAAGAAAGAGGGAGGGAGAAAGAAAGAGAAATATAGAAAGAAAGAGAAAGAAAGAAAGAAAGGATGGAGGGATGGAGGAAGGGAGAAAGAAAGAAAGAAGAAAGAAAGAAAGAAAGGGAGGAAGACAGACAGAAATATAGAAAGAAACACAGAAAGAAAGAAAGAAAGAATGAAGGGAGCGAGAGAGAAAAAGAAAGAAAGGGAGGGAGAAAGACAGACAGAAATATAGAAAGAAAGAGAAAGAAAGAAAGAAAGAAAGAAAGAAAAAGGATGGAGGGAGGGAGGAAGGGAGAAAGAGAAAGGAGGGAGGGAGGGAAAAAGAAGAAAGAGAAAAGAGAAAGAAAGACAGAAAGACAGAAAGACAGACAGAGAAAGAAAGAAAGAAAATGGAGGGAGCGAGAGAGAAAGTAAGAAAGAGGGAGGAAGAGAGAAGACAGATAGAAAGAAAGAAAGAAAGAGGGAGGGAGGGAGAAAGAAAGAAATATAGAAAGAAAGAAAGGGGGGAGGGAGAAAGAAAGAAAGAAGAGAAAAGAGAAAGAAAGAAGGAGGAAGATAGACAGAGACAAAGAAAGAAAGAAAGAAAGAGGGAGGGAGAAAGAAAGAAGAAAGAAAAGAGAAAGAAAGAGGAAGACAGACAAAGAAAGAAAGAGGAAGACAGACAGACAGAGAGACAAAGAAAGAAAGAAAGAAAGAAAGAAAGAGGGAGGGAGAAAGAAAGAAAGAAAGAAAGAGAAAAGAGAAAGAAAGAGGAAGACAAAGAAAGAAAGAGGAAGACAGACAGACAGAGAGACAAAGAAAGAAAGAAAGAAAGAGGGAGGGAGGGAGAAAGAAAGAAAGAAAGAGAAAAGAGAAAAGAGAAAGAAAGAGGAAGACAGACAAAGAAAGAAAGAAAGAGGCGCACCGAGACAGACACCCCCCTTTCCTGCTGCGTACCCTCCCCCTCGAAAGCTTCGGAGGCGAAGTTGAGGGACGGGGGAGACCCTCCCCCCGCCGCTGGGATCGCCCCCCTTCCTCGCCCCTCGCCCCCCCTTCCTCGTTCCCCCCCCACGCAAAACCAGCGCCCCCCCCCCGTCACCTTCGCGCCTGGGATGCGCGCAACTTCGCCAGGAAAAGCCTCGCGCACTTCGGGCGGCGCCTGGGGAACCGAAAGCGAAAGTGCCGCGCGAGAGGGAAAGTCAGGCCGGGCAGAGGCCGGCCGAGCTTGGCTCGGCCCGCGCAGGGGGGGGGTTGGACTGGATGACCTCCGAGGCCCCTTCCAACTTCTCTCTCTCCTGCTTGGGTCGGGCGTGGGTTCCGTGGGGGCGGGGCCTTCGCTTCGCCTGCGGGGCTCGTGATTCGCTGTCAGCGGATCCCGTGGGTCGGGGAAGGGGGGGGGGAAACCGAAGCGAAGGGGGGGGGGAGGGAGTTGAATTCCCTTTCCTGGGAACTTTCCTTTGCGCGCGGGGCCACCTGGGAATCACGCGCGGGAATTGCCGCCGGCAAGTGTAGGCGGTGGGAGGGTGGAAAGTGGGAGGGAGGGAGGGAGAAAGAGAGGGAGGGAAAGAAAGAGAGAGAGAGAGAGAGAGAGAGAGGAAGGAAGGAAGGAAGGAAGGAGGGAGGGATGGAGGGAGGAAGAAGGACAGAAAGAAAGAGAGAAAGAAAGAAAGGGAGGGAGAGTGAGAGAAAGAAAGGAAGAAAGAGAGAAAGAAAGAAGGAAGGGATGGAGAAAGACAGAAGTATAGAAATTAGAAAGAAAGAAGGGAAGAATGAAAGACAGGGAGGGAGGGAGAAAGAGGGAGAGAAAGAAAGAAAGAAAAAGAAGTGAGGGAGGGAGGAAGAGGAAGAGGGAGAAAGAAAGGAGGGAGGGAGGGAGGAAGAGGGAGAAAGAAAGAAAGAAAAAAGAAAGAAAAAGAAAAAGAAAGAAAGAAGGGACGGAGAAACAGAAATATAGAAATTAGAAAGAAAGAAGGAAAGAAAGAAAGGAGGGAAAGGAAGAGGGAGAGAGAGAAAGAAAGAAAGAAAGGGAGGGAGAGAAGATGGAGAGAAAGAAAGAAAGAAAGAAAGAAAGAAAGAAGGGATGGAGAAAGACATAGAAATATAGAAATTAGAAAGAAAGAAGGAAAGAAAGAAAGGAAGGGAGGGAGGGAGGGATGAAGAGGGAAAGAAAGAAAGAAAAAGAAGGGAGGGAGGAAGACAGACAGAAATATAGAAAGAAAGAGAAAGAAAGAAAAAGGGAGGGAGAGAAAAAGAAAGAAAGAAAGAAAGAAAGAAAGGAAGGAGGGAGGGAGGGAGGAAGAGGGAGAAAAAGAAAAAGAAAGAAGGAAGACAGAAATATAGAAAGTGAACGAAAGAAAGGAGGGAGAGAGAGAGAGTAAGAAAGAAAAAAGAGGGAGAGAAGGAGGGAGTAGCTGAGCAGCGCATGCACCTGTGTGCGTGTGCTCACCCCCTCTCATTCCTCCGTTGCTGCGACTCTCACGCAGGCCGTGGCGTGAGCCTCACACGGGGTTGCTGCCGTACGATCCTCGTGCCGGTAGTCGTATCGCCGCGAGCCTGGCGTCGTCGGCGTCACAAGCCTCACACAGATACCGGCGTCGCTGAGAGTGGCAGGGCGCGCCCGCTCGCGGCCTGTGTGTGTGCGCATGCACGCGCACGTGTAGCCATATTCATGTTTGTGCACACGCGCATAAGGCGCCTGCCCCTCCCTCTCCCACCGGGCCGCCAACCCAGGAAGGTTGGGTACCCCTGGCTTAGGTGATGGAAACCCGTGAGAGAATATATACCGAGCTCAAAATGTGTCAGGCTCACCCCAACTTTCGGAAAGAAACACCCTCGACTCCATTCCTTGAAGCGAAAGCTTCTCTTCCTAAAGTCCAGCAGTTACACTGTAAGCAAAGTATTCCCGCACAAAGTATTCCTGCACAAAGTTTGCCTTTTTCCCCCTTTCCCTGCTCTGCCCCCCACCCCCTGCCCTTGACCAGTCCATCGGTGTCCAGTCGTCATTCCCCCCTCCCAATTTCCCATGACATACACCTGCAGGCATGGATTTCCTCCCACCTCCAGCGATGGACGGCAGAGCTGATCGACACAACCGCAGGGTCCCTTTCCAAAACAGCCTGAGAACTTTTAATTGGACGTGGACCGATAATACAGGGAGGGGGAGGGGTTGGCCAGAGGAAAAGGGAAAGTTCATTGCGTCGTCATGGCGCCAAACCAACAGATTCTGCCTGGTCTGATCCAGCACCCCCCCTCCCGACAACCTTTTGGGTACCGGGGACCGGTTCCGTGGAGAGAGGTTTTACCGCAGACCAGAAGGAGTGTGGTTTCACGTGTTGCCTGCGTCTCCGTGGATGGGATTCCACCTGTTTGCACGGACTGGTTTCTGGCATGTCATGGCCTGGTACCGGTCCACAGATTGGGTGGTTGGGGACCCCTGCTCTAATCTGTAAAGTATTTCCTTGGGTGGGGAGAACGAGGAGTCCTTTTTTGGCTAATTGGACTAAGTGGGAAGGATGACCAACACGCTGAATTCCCCTCGCGTGTGCAGAACGGACGTCACCCACCCGGGATGCTCTTGGCTTATGGGGGGAAACACCCCTTTGATACTGGGGAAACTGGGTTGGACTGGGGCGAAGGCAAGGATGTGGGGCCGGGCTGGCGTTGAGGGGCTGTGGGGCAGGATCCTGGTGCCCTTGAGAAGATGGAGGAAGATCTTTAAAGATAAGGACCCGCTTCTCTCGCTGGACCCCAGGATGGGCAGGGAAGACCCCCCCCCCAGCTGAACCCCCCCCCCGCCCATTTCAGCAGTCAATGGCGAAGGAGAAGCAGAGACGACACCAGATGTGCAGGTCTGCCATTGTTTATTTCTCGAAGAAAGAAAAGGGAATTACGAACCACGCCGTTTCTGGATTTTGCGGCAAAAAAAATAAAGTTGTTCTTCAAAGACGTGCGGGGAAAAGCCAGCGAAACACCGCGACGAATACCTTTTTCGTGACAGAACACACAATTCTCAGGATGGAATACGCCGTTCTGCCTACCCAACAGGCCAACCGGAGTGGGAGGAAGAGCAGCCAGATGAGGCTTCTGCCCGGCTTTCGGTTCTGCTCGACGAAGATCCTGACGTGCTCGTCCCGTAGGCTGGGTTCCCCGTACAGCCGGTTGACGTAGTAGCGCCCACGGTTCTCGGAAACGACGCTCTGCACCGTCGCCATCAGCTCCGAGACCTGCCTCTCTCGCTCGGCTCCCGCGGCCTTGTTGTCGAACCCACAAAAGCGGTTCCCGCACCGCCGGATCAGGTCCCACAGGTTCTGGTTGTCGGACTTTCGGATGTACTCCTGCAGGGAGGCCCCTTCCAGATCCTCCAGGCAGGTGAAGAGGAGGATGGTGTGCCTGGCGGACTCGGCCCCAAAGATATCCCAGACACAGTTTGCGGCAGCCGCATCTTCCGCGGTGAAGCGCCCCACCTGGGTCACCAAGATCAGGGCGTGGGGGCCGGGCCGGGAGAGTTCGACGCAAGCCACGATCTCACGTCGCACAATCTCATTGTAGTTTGCCGAATCGAAAAGGCCGGGCGTGTCAACCACGGAGACCTTCCTGCCCTGCCAGGTTCCCTGCCCCCTTTGGCACCTCAGGGTGGTGGCGTTTGGCCCCAAGGTGGACTCGAACTCCTTCCGGCCGAGGATGGTGTTGCCCGTGGCGCTCTTCCCGCCTCCGGTCTTCCCCACCAGGATGAGCCGGAGTTCCTCTCCTGGGAGTTTGAAAGACAACAGTTACACCAAGGAATCCAGAGATTTCACACCCGCCCAGGAGGGACGTCTGAAGACAACATTAGAGAAAGACTGGCATCCGTGTAGCCTTGATCCACCCTTCCTTCCTTCCTTCCTTCCTTCCTTCCTTCCTTCCTTCCTTCCTTCCTTCCTTCCTTCCTTCCTTTCTTCCCTTCCTTCCTTCCTTCCCTCCCTCCTTTCTTTCTTCCCCTCCCCCTCTGTCTCTCCCTTCATGTCTCTTTCCATCTTTCCCTTCCCTCCCCTTTCTTTTCTTCCATTCCTTCCCTTCCTTCCTTCCCTTCCTTCCTTCTTTCTTCCCTTCCCCCTGTCTCTCTCCCTTCATGTCTCCTTCCCTCCTCCCCTCCCTTTCCCTTCCCTCCCCTTCCCTCTCCTTTCCTTCCCTTCCTCTCTTTCTTTTTCTCTTTCCCTTCCCTTCTCCCTCCCTCCTTTCCTTCCCTTTCTCTTTCTTTCTTTTTTTCTTTCCCTTCCCTTCTCCCTCCCTCCTTTCCTTCCCTTTCTCTTTCTTTCTTTTTTTCTTTCTTTCCTTTCTTTTATTTATTTCTTTTCCTCCTTCCTTCCTCCCTCCCTCCCACCTTTGTTTCTTTCTCTCTTTCTCCCCTCCCCTCCCCTCCCCTTTCCTTTCCTTCCCTTCCCTTCCTCTCTCTTTCTTTTTCTCTTTCCCTTCCCTTCTCCTTCCCTCCTCTCCCTTCCCTTTCTTTCTTTCTTTCTTTCTTTCTTTCTTTCTTTCTTTCTTTTCTTCCCTTTCTTTTTTCCTTCCTTCCCTCCCTCCCTCCCATCTTTCTCTCTCTCTTTCTCTTCTCCCCTCCCCTCCCCTTTCCTTTTTTCCCCTCTCTTTCTTTTTCTGTTTCCCTTCCTTTCTTCCTTCCTTCCTTTCTTTCTTTCTTTCTTTCTTTCCTTTTATTTCTTCTCTTCATCCCTCCCTCCCTCCCACTCACCTTTCTTTCTTTCTCTCTCTCTCTCTTTCTTTTCTCCTCTCCTCTCCCTTCCTTTCTTTCTTTCCTTTCTTTTATTTCTTTCCTTCCCTCCTCCCTCCCACTCACCTTTCTTTCTCTCTCTCTCTCTCTCTCTCTTGCTCTCTTTCTTTTCTCCTCTCCCCTTCCCTCCCCTCTCCTCCCTTTCCCTTCCCTTCCCTCTCTCTTTCTTTCTTTCTCTCTCTTTCTTTCTTTCTCTTTCTTTCCTCCCTCCCTCCCTCCCTTCCCTTTCTCTTTCTTTCTTTCTTTCTTTCTTTCTTTCTTTTCCTTCCTTCCTTCCTTCCTTCCTTCCTTCCTTCCTTCCCTCCCTCCCTCCCTCCCTCCCTCCCTCCCTCTCTCTCTCTCTCTCTCTCTCTCTCTCTCTCCCCCTCCCTTCCACTGGGTTTCCCAGAAAACCTCCGGGATAACTGGGGGGGGGGTTACCTTTCTCCACGTCCATGGCTTCCCTTAGGCCAGTTCAGATCTGCCAGCAATCCGAATTCCCTGCGGGGGGGGGAGGGAGAGAAAGCAGACCCCAAAGCCGTTTTTTCCCTCTCAATTCCTGGCTGAGTCGGGGGGGG